GTGTCAGCTTGTAAGTGGTGGATCACTGTTTCCCCATTCCACCAGGGCCCATGCAAGAAATCTCTTCCTGTGTGCATGCACAGAGCCAGCCAAGTTGTAGATGAAGCTGTGCTATCTACTACTACTCCTAACAACTCAAACCCATCTTTTTTCCTCTGTAGCATAGGCTAAAAGCTGATCTTAAGTAGCATGGGTAGGAGCCATCTGGCAGTCTGCAGAAGGGACTAGTGAAGCAAACTGGGTATTACAATCACATTCAGACAGCTTTAAGGATCCAACTGCTACAGCAAAACAACTTAATATAGCAAACCACCAATACCACGTTCTTTGCGTACTGCAAGTGTGAAGCAAAGCATGGTGGCTTAAACTAGCATTAAAAATTGTTAGCAGCTTTAGGTAAAGGGTATCATGAACATGTGTGCTCACAGGAGTAATAATCCAGAAGTGCCCGCATACACTTTCACATATTCCTGAAAGACCTGGAAATTGTCCTCCGGAAAAAAAGCATTTGACAGCAAGAAATTAATTACAGCTCAGATGAATTCTGTCCAGCAAGACAGCTCTTCCATATCTCAGGGTGTCCCAGCTGAGATGACAAGAAAGGAATATGATCCAAACAGGCCTTGGTATGTCCTAGCAGGACCTCCCCTGGATCAGGCAGTCATCCACATACAGATACATATGATTTAGATGGGTAATTTCAACTACTAAGTCTTCATTAAGAACTTTATTACCACAAGGACTCTCAAGAATCATTACTGGTAATGATTCGACCCCACTGTTTAATTCCTTAAGAGCCAGGCAGACTGCAAGTGCTGAAAGACAACAGTCGAATTGAGACATGCTAGGTCTGAGCTTAAGAAAGGTAAAAAGGTAGAACTTAAACACTGGGCCTCCTCTTATCTAGGTTATGATAAAGACCAGTCATTTTTCTTTGAAATGAAAATGTCTATTCGGGTTCCTCCATATTCTTTGAGAACACCTTTGGTGCCTTCCAAGAAGCATCAAGGATATTTTCATATCAGACTCTGGTGAGAAAGTTTCCTGAAGTACAGAGAAAGAAGTAGGCACCATATAAACAAAGGGCTGGGTCAGGTAACCAAAGGCAGCAAGCCAACACTTACTGGTTTGATGATGAGACCAACCAACTAGCAGAATAGTACAGGGCAGAATTCAAAGGTCATTTGACAAGACTTGGTCTGGTGCAGTCGTCAGTCATACCATCCAACATTACAGCAAGTAAACAAACAACTGTGTGTTGCTAGAGATGAGAAAACTTGTCATCGCTACATTTTCAGTACTTTTTAAACACAGGTTTCCATCTGTGCAATGCTTTGGCTCCTGCTCAGGACAAAACAAGTTGCAGTAACAAAGAGGAAAGGCAGCACTGCATGGCTTGCTTTCATCACTAACTTGACTGCATTTTCAGTTGTCTCCGAGTAGTTCAGAGCTATAGGTGGCAGTTGGTAGCCTACTCTCTGAATATTTAGGATAACCCTATGCTTGGGACTTTGATACTTCATGGACAATTACCATCATGCTCACACAGTACCAACTGCAGCACCCAGGCCTGTAAAACCAGACCAGCTACTAAAGAGCCTTTCTTAATTGTGTCCTTCAATTTGTCTTTGTTGCCCTAAGTGAACTCAGCAATCAAGATCCATATTATTAGAGAACCACCCTTAG